GCGGGGGGGGGGGGGGGGGGGGGGGGGGGGTCCCAGAATGACGGGCGCGAAGATTTGATCAAGACTGCTTGAGCTTGCGGATCATCATGAGTCCCAAAGGCCAAGCGACGCGAACATGATCGTCGTCCAATCCTTCTTGCGTTCCCATGCCTTGTGCTCTTTGTCGCAAGACTGCCTCGCGCAACTTTTGCACGTGCAAGTCGATCATGTCTGCTGCTGCTGCTGCTTTGTCCTGTCCGGCCACGAACGAAGAGGGATGCTGAGCCTTGTAGCGCGAGCTGGCGCTGGATGTGTGAAAGTAAGAGTTGAGAGAGGAGAATGACATGGGTTGCTAAATGAGTGCCGTGGCCGTCCAGGTCAGGTCAGGTCAGGCGCGTGAGCTTCAACGGTCGCGTAGCAGGCAGAGGCAGAGAGAGGGTAAGATGAACGCACACTCATGCTGAAATCTAGCTCGGGAGATCCGATCTGAGGCACGCCTGGCGCAGAGAGGCTGTGCATACGACGTTCGGCACTGCTCGTATCCCACACGCTCTCATCTTCCGGAAAAGGTCTGAGAGCAAGCCGAGCTCCGAAAAAAGATCAGCACTGAGCGAGCCAGGCACTTTGCATTTGCCGCTTCTATTCGACCACTCACATATCCACGTAAAGGTTTTCCAGCAGACGCCTGCCAGGCTGGGGCCAATAGGGACCGAGAAAGTCTGCATAGGAGCTCATGAACTCCTTCATCATGGGCCACAGATCGGGATGCTGAGGCAGATAATTGGTGCCGTACGTCCAGAAAGCGACGGTGCCGTTGGGCTTGAGTACTCGACCCAATTCCTTCCATATTTGAGGATATGAGAACCAATGGGCCGCGGTGGCTGCGGTGATCAGATCTACGCTCTGGTCGGGCAAAATCCCTCCGAGATCTTCGGCGGATGACTGCACAAATTGAACCTTGGCCGATGACAGGCTGGTTTGGCTGGGATTGCTGGACTTGTACTGCTCCCATGCCGCTGGACCTTGATCCAGCATGCCTTGCGACGGATCGGTACCTATGCTGCGCTCAAAGTGACCCGCAAGAGGGAAGAAGGAAATGCCAGGTCCGCAACCAAGGTCGAGCAGAGTGCCGTGTGCGCCTTGGTGGTACTGCAATACGCGAGAGTATATCTCGCTGGAGTGACGCGGTCTGGCTTCAAAGTATCGCCTGAAATCAAAGGAGGGGTCAGAGAATGCAGACATGCTGATCCATCGTCTGTCCAGCGTCGATGACGGCGAGGGTTTGACACTTGCGGGCTCGCACCTGAAGGTCACTTTGTTGGTGAGTGCGGATTGCGCGAAGGCGGATGAACTGATGGCAAGGGTGGTTGATGGCAAGCCTGCAGTTGCCCTTGCAGCTGCGCGAATCGGGATCATTGCGAGGAAGCGCCGTGAAACCTGCGAGCGAGTCTTGTCGAAGGTTGTTAGCACGAATGACAGACGCATTCGGTGCACAGAGAGAGAGAGAGTGAGAGAGAGAGAGAGGCAGACGCTTTATATGGCCCCAGTGGAAATACCGCCCCACCCCAACTCAAAATGAAGCCAATTTGATCCTTATTGGTCCGTGCTGTCGGACATGAACGCCGTTTGACCCGTTCTCCAACAGTCCGTCACCCAAGTGGCGAGCGCGAGCCAAGCCGAGCTTAGCGATGTCGCCTCTTGAGGATGTAGAAATGCCGGATGGAATGAAATCCGCGCTCGAGATTCATTCATGACCACCACCACTGGCATTCCATGCAACGGCCGTCGCATACGCAACAAGTGCTGTGCCGAGACCGGTTATGCCGCCCTGCACTACTGCGCGCTGCTGCAATGCGTGATACGGCATACCCGCCGGTGATTATGATTGCAACCTCCCAACAAATGAAAGTCCGGCGCGTCCGCCCCGTGGGCTCAGAGACGAGTCACGTGAAAAGCTACGTATAGGTACCGTATACCGTATACCGTATACCGTATACCGTGCGATATGCCGCGCGCCAGTCACAAGTCAAAATGGAACGCAGCTTGGTCCCCGACCTCACATCAAAGCATCCATGCGCGTGGGGGGCCCGCTAGCGTGTCGCACTCAGGACGATCTGTTGAAGATTGTGATTTCCACAATCACCCAAGCCTGGGCATCAAGAGACGCCACCTCATACATTCCGCCGCATACCTCCTCGCATTACATTGCACTCTCCATCTCCAGTTCAAAGAGTGGGTGCCCACTCGCTCGCTCGATCTCACTCATATCCACGCTGCCGAACGCACAGCGAACACGACAGCGCGGCGAGGAGCGCATCGGCCTCGCTGCGTTCGCGCCCTGACGCCAGACTGGCAGCTTCAGCAATCAGCTCGCAGCCACATCCGAACAAGAACTTCGAGCCGGATTCGCTGCCTGATTCGCCGGGTGCGAATGCTTGCGTGTAGAGCACAGGGGCTGCTGCACTGAGCATCAGGTGCGCTGCCAGCCCACAAGCACCTTGCATCTAGCACCTTCAGTTCCTCCTGTTTGCATGTCCTAATCTGCATCGCACAATGCCGTCTACGAGCAATGCGCCCAACATGGTGACGGGGGCTGCCATGGCTGTGCTAGCAGCTCAACAGACCGATGCTCTTGCACGCATATTCGTCAAGCTGAAGAACAAGGATGAACATGTTCGAATTGCTGCTGGCAAGGAGCTAGCCCATCATGTCACCTTTGTGGCCTCAGAGCTCAAGGGAGATGCGGTTTCGGTGTTCAACAACGATCTCAACAGACGCATCTTCGAGCTGACTCATAGCCCTAATGTGCACGAGAAGCTGGGAGGCATCGTCGCCATCGGTGGGTAGCTGGCATTCTGCGAGTGGATTGGTCGATCGTTACGCGCCAGGCTGACTTGATGCGCCTCTCCTGTCCACCCTCAGACACCTTGACGGATCTGGAGTCGGAGGATAACAGTGCGCGCTTGTATCGTTTTTATCAGTACTTGAAACCAAATTTGCCATGCAACGATACACAGGTAATGGTCGCCGCTTCGAAAGCTCTGGGCAGAGTGTCCAAGTACGGTGGTCACTCGCTGGGAGACCAATTCATCGAATTTGAAGTCATGCGTGCTCTCGACTTCTTGCAAGGTGGGTGCATGCCCTCAATTCGCTGGCGTGCAGCGCTCTTGCTACTTGCGCATGAACTCAAACAGACTTTTCTCCCCCTCGGGCATCCGATTATATTAGCTGGCGATCGCAACGAACCCGGAAGGTATGCGGCGGTGCTCATCATTCGGGAGATGGCCATCAATGTTCCCCTGCTCTTTCTCGCATACGTGCCCAGAGTGCTCGAGAGGATATGGGTAGCGCTTAGAGATGCAAAGGTGTGTCGGCTCGCACGTCCGCATATGCTGGTAGAGCCCAACACCTGACGCGCATGGTCTCGACTTTCAGGTCCTTGTGCGGGAAGGCGCGGCCGAGGCGATGGGTGCTTGCTTGCAAATCATCGCCCAGCGCGAGAAGCAGATGGGCGGCAAGGCGTACGAGTCCATCTACGAAGAGGCAGAGCACGGCCTGAAGATGAATACGGTCGAGGGCATCCACGGCAGCTTATTGGCTGTGCAAGAATTGTTGCAGCACTCCAAATCGGTGAGCGTCTCAAACTGCGAGGCGGATCTGAGCGCAAAACTTACTTTTTGCGCTTCGCTGCGCTCCGATGCGCCTAGTTCATGTCCACTCGGTTCGGCAGAGCTTGCGAGCTTGTCTCGCGCCTGCATAAACATCGCGATCCTCTCATACGGCGCACCATCACCAATTTGGTGCCCGTCCTTGCAGACTATGACCCGACATATTTTGCTGAACACCATCTGGGGACAGTGATGGCGCTGCTCACGGAGCAGTTGAGGCGCGAAAGGGACCGTCCTTCGCGAGAAGCTGTTACGCAAAGTGAGGAACACGTGCAGCGCATGGCTTTGCGGAGAGCTGGCTCACTAAGCTATTCCCGGCGATTCCCCTTCCTGCAGCATTCGAAGCGATCGGATTGGTCGCTGCAGCCATGGGGTCTAAGATGCGACCCTACATCGAACAAATTCTCGTCTGTATCAAGGACGGTCTGCAATCTCGCGGTCGCAAGAACGCAACGCCCGAAGCGCCAATCTTCTTTTGCATTGGACACCTCGCAATTGCTGTAGGAACGCTTCTGACCAAGTATATGCACGAGCTACTCGATCTCATGTTTGCATGCGGGCTCAGCGCTCCCTTGGTCCAAGCGCTCGAGAAGATTGTAAAGTCTGTACCGCCGCTTCTTGGTGTTATTCAGCGTAAGTGTCGAACAGACTGCGTGGTCATGGACTCAACGTGGCCAGTCTGCTGACCCTCTCTGACCACTCGTTGCTGCTTGACGCCGTGTAGACCGACTCCTCGACATGCTTTCTCTGACGCTGGTCGGTGTGCCGTACAGGCCTCTTGGAGCACCCTCTAGCAGTCGCTTGCCCGCACATGGAGGTGTGATTGCCAATCAGCAGCTCAACGTCGGGTCAAAGAGTAGCGAGACAATCATAGTAGCGCTGCAGACTTTGGGCCATTTCGACTTGACTGGTGAGTCTGTCAACGGCGCGACAGTAGCGTGATTGATGGAGGTGCTGAACCAGTCGTGTGATTGCGTTGACCTCAGGTCATATCCTAAATGAGTTCGTGAGGAGTTGCACGCTCCCATACTTGGGGGACGACGAGGCGGACGTTCGCAAGGCGGCAGCAACGACCTGCGCGCGTCTCTTCGGTGACGACCCAATCTGCTTCCAGACTAGTCTTCACGCCATCGAGGTCGTCAACGATGTGCTGGACAAGCTGATGACGGTAGGCATTGCCGATCCAGAAGCGAACCTCCGCAAGACTGTGCTGTCTGCCCTGGATGAGCGCTTCGATCAGCATCTTGCCCAAGCCGAGTACATACGGCTGCTGTTCATCGCACTCAACGACGAAGACTTTGCGGTGCGAGAAGTGGCCATCGCTACGATTGGTCGACTTGCAAGGCACAACCCGGCGTATGTCATGCCATCCCTGCGCAGAGCTCTGGTCCAACTCCTCACAGAACTGGAGTATGCTACCGTCAGCCGGCACAAGGAAGAAGCAGCCAAGCTGCTAACAGACGTCGTGAGAGCTTCTCAGAGATTGGTCAAATCGTACGCCCTACCGATGTTGGAGGTGCTGCTTCCCAAAGCAAATGATCCCAGCCCTGGGGTAGCTGCTCGGGTGATGGAGTGCTTGGGAGAACTTGCGAGGGTGGGGGGCGAAGATCTTGCAGGTCATGTGGATCAGCTGATGAAGCTTGCCATCGAGCAGCTCTCTGCTCAATCTGCGCACGCTTCTACCGTCAAGCGCGATGCTGCTTTGCGCACGCTCGGCCTCGTCGCGTCCAATACGGGGCATGTCGTGGATCCATACCTCAAGTACAGAAGCCTGCTGGCGACCGTCATTCGCATCCTCAAGACAGAGTCCGCTCCTGCAGTGCGGCGGGAGACGATTAGAGTGATGGGCATCTTGGGCGCTCTGGATCCCTATCGCTACAAGGTGAGTGAATCGGGCCCGAGGAGCCGTCGCGGAGCCGTCGTCCCACGGTGCGCGCGCGAGGTGCTGACAAAGACATTCCTGGTGTCCCTTGCAGCTTTTGGAAAAGACAACGGAAGATGGAGTGCCCGAGGCTGGCAAGGCTGCAGGCACGGACCTATTCGAACTGGCCATGGCTATTGGCACGAGCAGCGATGACTATGCGCAGAATGTCGCCATCGATGCCCTCATCACCATTTTGCGCGACCCGTCTCTTTCGACGCATCACCATGCCGTCATCGAAGCGATCATGTACGTCTTTAAGACTCAAGGCCTCAAATGCGTCACGTTTTTGCCGCAGATTATACCTGCTTTTCTCAACGTCATTCGGACATGCACCACGGGTGAGAGGAGTTGAGAGGAGTTTGAGCATGCTTCGTGACCGACGAGGCTCACACTGACACGGTCCTTCTTGCCGCAGGCACTGAATTTTACTGGCAGCAGTTGGGCATCTTGATCTCCATCATCAAGCAGCACGTGCGGAATCACCTCAAAGACATCTTCGATCTCGTGCAAGAGAATTGGAACCCGAATTCTAGCATTCAACTCACCATCGTGTCTCTGGTCGAAGCGGTAGCGAATGCTTTGGAGGGCGAATTCAAAACATACCTGCCCATTCTGTTACCTCAGCTCATCCAAACGCTCGATGGGGAGATCACGGCCAAGCGCCAACCGACATTTCTGCGCATTCTTCACGCATTTGTCGTGTTCGGCTCCAGCATCGACGAGTACCTCGGGTTAGTCTTGCCAGTAGTCGTCAAGATGTTCGAGCGGCCGGAAGCCTCGATTCTTCTTCGCAGGTCCGCTATCGTCACCGTTGGTCAGCTCAGTGCCAAGGTCAGTTTCTGCGATCACGCCTCGCGCGTGATTCATCCCCTTGTGCGCGTGCTCAGCTCGGGCAATGTCGAGCTGCGGGGCGCAGCGATGGACACGCTGGCTGCGCTTGCCTTCCAACTTGGCGCTTCCTATGCCAACTTTATTCCAGTGGTAGCGAAGACGCTGTTGCAGCGCGGTATCACCCATGCCAAGTACGATCAGCTCGCAACCTGTATCTTGAATGGGGAACGGTTGCCACCAGAGTACGGTCCGGGCGATCGAGCGCTCGATGGGCCTGCAGAGGTGGCGCCTTTGGCCGAAGCTACAAAGATGACTGTCAATCAACAGCACCTGAAGCAAGCTTGGGACACGAGCAAAGTTTCTACCAGCGATGACTGGAGAGAGTGGCTTCGACGTGTAGCCGTCGAATTTATGCGCGAATCGCCTTCCCACGCAATGCGAGCTTGTCGATCGCTAGCGGATGTCTATCAGCCACTTGCGCTCGACCTGTTCAACACTGCGTTCGTCTCCTGCTGGACAGAGCTGTACGATAGCTACCAGGACGACCTTGTGAAATCCATCGAAGGAGCTTTCGACGCTGCAGACATTCCTGATCAGGTCATTCATCTCCTTCTCAACCTTGCCGAATTTATGGAGCGCGACGACAAGGCTTTGCCGATCAACATTCGCCTGCTGGGCGACCGCGCGTACAAATTCCACTCGTACGCCAAGGCGCTGCACTACAAAGAAGCCGAGTTCCTCAGCGACGCATCGCCGCACACTATCGAATCGCTCATCGATATCAACACCAAGCTCCAGCAGAGCGATGCGGCTTTTGGAACGCTCACGTACGCCCGCGAGCACCTGGACATCACTCACCACGAAGAGTGGTACGAGAAACTGCACAGGTGGGAAGAGGCACTGGCAGCTTACGACAGGCGTGCGGCTGCTGCACCGGGCGATGTCAAAGTCGAAGCTGAGACTGCATTTGGCCAGATGAGATGCTTGCACGCCTTAGGAGAGTGGAGCAGGTTGTCAGACCTTGTCAAATTGCGCTGGCCCAATGCGACTAGTGAAGAGCGCCGTCAGATGGCCCCGCTTGGTGCCGCAGCGGAGTGGTCGCGAGGGGCTTGGAACGACATGGAAGACTTCACATCGTCCATGCGGTCCGACTCTTCCGAGAGGTCCTTCTTCAGAGCAATTCTGGCTGTGCATCGCGGCTTCCGTGGAAGCGCCCTCAAGCACGTCACACGTGCTCGTGATGCGCTCGACTCTGAACTGACGGCTCTGGTTACGGAGAGCTACACGCGTGCATATGACCTCATGGTCCGAACGCAGATGCTGTCGGAACTCGAGGAAGCTTTGACTTATAAGACCGAATTCAAGGATCAGCCTGACAGACAGGCAACGATGCGGGCGACATGGATGAAGCGACTGAAAGGTTGTCAGCCCGAGGTCGAAGTCTGGCAACGCATTCTCTCCGTCCGCAGCGTGGTGCTCACGCCGAGGGACGATACAGATACGTGGATTAAATTTACCAATCTCTGTCGCAAGAATGGCCGGATGGTGCTTGCAGAGAAGACGCTCAACTCTTTGCTCGGCCCCGAGATCGGCGACGCAGAATCAGCAGACGGCATTGCTGCAGCTGCCATGGGTCCCAAGGCCCCGCCGCCAGTCATTTACGCCCATCTCAAATTCATGTGGGCATCGGGCGCGCGAGAGGAAAGCCTGGAGTACCTCCGCACCTTTACCGCCAGCTTGTCGGAGGACCTCGGCTTGCATCCTGGCGACGAGCATGCGACTGCGTTCAGCCAAGACTGGAATGCCATTCCTAGACTCAACGACTTTGCGAAGTTGCTTGCTCGATGCTACTTCAAACAGGGAGAATGGCAAGCTGCGTTGCACGAGGACTGGGTCAACGACACGACTTGTGACGTCATTGATTCTTACCGGCGCGCCACGCAGCTAGACAGGAACTGGTACAAGGCCTGGCACGCGTGGGCGCTGGCAAATTTCGACGTCATCTCGTCGCACGAGAGGCATGGACAAACGGTCTCCACTCAGATGATAGCTGCAAGCATCGTGCCATCCGTACAGGGCTTTTTCCGATCGATCGCTCTTGCACAAGGCAACTCCCTGCAAGACACTTTGCGTCTACTAACATTGTGGTTCAACTACGGCTACCAAGAGAACGTCGCGGATGCGGTTCAGGAAGGCTTCAGCAGCGTCGTCGTCGATACGTGGCTGAGCGTGATCCCCCAAATCATTGCTAGGATCAACTCGCCGAGCCCTAGGGTGCGCAGGTTGATCCAGCTCTTGCTGTCGGATGTAGGAGCAGCGCATCCGCAAGCACTGGTCTATCCATTGACCGTGGCTGCCAAGTCGCCGAGCTCGATGCGAATCAAGGCGGCGATGGGCATCATGGAGAATCTGCGCGAACACAGCCCGCTGTTGGTGGAGCAAGCCATGCTCATCTCAAACGAGCTCATTCGGGTTGCTATCCTGTGGCACGAACTCTGGCACGAAGGGCTGGAAGAGGCGTCGCGATTATACTACACTGAGCAAAAGACGGATGCAATGTTTGCGGTGCTGGAACCTCTGCATGAAGCATTGGAGAAGGGTCCCGAGACGCTTCGAGAAACATCCTTCGCTCAAACGTACGGCCGTGATTTGAACGAAGCGCGCGAGTGCGGTCGGAGATACCGCCAATTTGGCGACGTCACCGACCTCAATCAAGCGTGGGATCTGTATTATCACGTCTTCCGCCGCATCTCTAAACAGCTTCCTGCCACAAATTCGGTACAATTGGACCTGCAGTACGTGTCTCCGAAGCTGCTAGCGTTGCGCGATCTCGAACTCGCGGTGCCGGGCACGTACCAGAGCGGACAGCCTATCGTCCGCATCACCCAATTCGAGCAGGTCGTTTTGGTCATCATTTCAAAGCAGAGACCTAGGCGATTGAAAATGAGGGGCAGCGATGGCAGGACTTACCAGTATCTCCTCAAGGGACACGAAGACTTGCGTCAAGACGAGCGCGTCATGCAGCTCTTTGGTCTAGTCAACTCACTGCTCTCTACAGATTCCGAGTCCTACAAGAGAAGGCTTGGCATTCGTCGCTTCCCAATCATCCCTCTCAGTCCCAATACGGGTATGATCGGTTGGGTGGAGCAGACGGACACCCTGCATGTCCTCATCAAAGAGTATCGCGAGCAACATAAGATTCTCCTCAACATCGAACATCGGCTGATGCTTCAGATGGCTCCGGATTACGACAACTTGATGTTGATGCAGAAAGTGGAGGTATTCGAGTACGCTCTGGACAATACGCCCGGTCAAGACTTGTATCGCGTCTTGTGGCTCAAGTCGCGCTCTTCGGAATCATGGCTGGAAAGGCGGACTGCGTACAGCCGCTCACTGGCAACCACATCAGTGGCAGGCTACATTTTGGGACTTGGAGATCGCCATCCTTCCAACTTGCTGCTCGACCGCGTCACGGGTCAGATTGTCCATATCGACTTTGGCGATTGTTTCGAGATCGCCTGTGCTCGACCAAAGTTCCCAGAAAAGGTGCCCTTCCGACTGACCCGCATGCTCGTCAACGCTATGGAAGTGGGTGGTGTCAAAGGAACCTTCAAGGTCACTTCTGAAAACGTCATGAGGGTCTTGAGAGACAACAAGGAGGCCATTATGGCATTGCTGGAGGCTTTCGTTCACGATCCGCTCATTTCTTGGCGTCTCGTGACGGACGAAGCGAACGAGCTCAAGGCGCCGGATGCGAGCGAGCACGAGGCTGCTGGCCAGCTTCGCTCGAATCAACCGGGAGACGTGCGAAACGTGAAAGCGCTGGAAGTGGTGCGACGCATTCAGAACAAGCTAAATGGTCGTGATTTCAATCCAAACGTCGCACTCTCTGTACCAGCTCAAATACAGCGTCTGGTGCAGGTGAGTCTGATGCGCCGCACTACGAGCTTGTCAGCCAGGCTCATCTCGTTGACACTATTTTGCAGGAGGCCACGTCGCTCGAAAACTTGTGTCAAGCTTTCATTGGATGGTGCTCCTTGTGAGTTGCGGAAGGGCTCAAAGCGCCGCTTGATTGTGAAGCTGATCAAGTTCGACCATTGCCTCTATCCCTCTCCCTTGGTAGCTGGTAGCTCGAAAGCTTGTGGCAAAATTTGTTCTGTTCTCCTCATCGCAATGCATGTCACGATACATCATCGACTCTCGTCTGCTACCACCTCACACGTGCACGTTGACCTAGAGTTGCTGATGCCGTTGATGGGCTCTATCTGACTGGGTCGCTGATCGCGCCAGCAAGCTGCCGTTACAGTTCATGAGCAGTAAGTAAGTCGCTCATCCTGAGAGACGTGCCCGCGGCTCAGAGGTGACTTGGTGTCGTCAGAATCCTCAAGATCAAACAAGTTGCTCTTGTTTGGCAGATTGACTTTCTCAGGACCTGGCCGATGTCAATCGGGCCAAGTATCCCTGGCGACACCATGCGTCCCCATCGGTCCACATTCCTCGGGTCAGCTTCCGTCAGCTACCAGCACAAGCGGAGAGGTCTTTCGTCTCGAGACTTTGCGCAAACGGCATTGCATTGATTCCGATCGTGATGGTATAGTGATTGCAAATGCTACTTACTACTAGCAACGACACGAACATCGCGCTTCCCATCCCTATTCCACGCAACGCGAAAAGGGACCCCCGTCATTCAAGATGAAAAAATATACCTTTGTGCTTCGGCATGGCAGATCGGGCAGCCGTCTCGGAGGACAACGCGGAGCTTAGCAGCGTAGGATCTGACGCCCTGCGAACGCTTCTCCACCTGCTCTAGCATTCCACCGTCGCCGCGCTCCGCACGTTTCATCGCTGCTTTGCCAGAGGTGGAGTTCAGATTGGTGACGGACGTCTTCAAAAAGGCTTGTGTCGCCGAGATGCGAGGAAGGTCAGTCTGCTCCTTTGCTGAGCTTCTCCTTTGTGGCAGCCGGTCTTCCGCGGCGAGACATTGGAGATGGTGGGCGTGGCGACACAAGAATAGGATGACGGGTAAGGCGCCGCTCCGTTCCGTTGGCTCCTCGGGAACCCTCAACAATTGCTTGCCACAAGCAGCGCAGGCCGACATGGTGCCCTCGAAAAAGCGCGGTTGTGTCTGACCTGCGTGAAGCTCTTGCGCGAACGCCTGCCTGTCTCGTTCAAGGACTGCAGCAGATCCCTCCAGCAGAGACACTTGCAGGTTAAAGTCCGACAAGATCTTGATCAGAGCAGGTTTCAGGCCCGGAATCTCTAGCCCGTTCTTGATCCTTCTGATAAGTCGAATGGGGTCGATCTCCGCACCAACATTCTCCAACAAGCCTCTGATGAAATCTGGTCTGGTCTCGCTGTACTCCAACACATCCTCCCACAACTCGTCGTCGTTCTGCTCCTTGGCAAACTCGATGGCTCGCTCCACGTCCCCCAGACGCGAAATGATCAACTCTAGAGCCTTCTTGTTGTCTCCTACGCGACCCAGTAGAAAGACCATCTCGGGCACGTAATCGTGCCTCGAGCAGACATCGTAAGACTTTTCGAAGGAGTAGTAGCTGCTCATTGCCCGTAGGAAGGGCATGAGTTTGTCGGCATCATACTCGGCGTAGAGCGAGACGAGCTCGTCAGAATACTCTACGACCATTTGTGGATCTTGATCGAACAGCGCATCGAGATACATGTAGAGGTATCGAGGTTCTGCCCGAAGCTGAGTGCTGACGCGGTGTACGGGGATGGAGTGTGTGTGATCGACGAGAAGGCTGATCGCGGCGCCGTGGCGCGAGGAGGAAGTGCTTGACGGCGTGTCAGAGGCCACGGCAGACGCTTCCTGTTTGAGCGAGGCGTGATGTTGGAGCTTTGAGAGCAGCTTCGAATCCTGACCTGAGGGTAGCTTCTCGGATTCCTGCTCAGCGTCGACTAGTTGTTGGTCAAATTGCACAAGCAAAAGAGCTTGGTCTTGCACTGCCGTGAAAAGATTATTGTCTCGAATAAGGGCAAAGACGCCAGGCTTGCGCAATCGCAAGAAGTAAGGCAATGCGCGGGCCGGTTGGCGATGCAGCAAGAATAATTGCACCAAGCATTCCATGAGAGTAGCGTGGTCGCCCTTGGTTTGGTCCGCATTGCCCGCTATTGCGCGCTTCAGCCGATCCTCGATAGCCATCACGACTGCGGTGTAGGTATAGATGTGGGCAGGCCAGGCACTGATCATAACAAGCAGCCTCTCCACGTCCGTTCTGAGAAAATGGGCCAAGATGACATCATAGACAAGCGCGCTTAGTTGAGGCTTCTCGAGAGGCACATGCGGAATGATCGTCGACAACTTGCTGCGGTCCACAAACAGGAAGACAAAATCCTCCCACTCCTTGACATCGGCTTCACTGTCCGTATCTCCAAGGAAGGAAGCGGCTAGCTGAGCAGCTGTAGCGTAGTCGTTCTTGACATCCACCAGCCAATAAAGATAGCGATGTCCTATCTGTCTCCGATCAAATCCTGCTGCCGCGGCGCCCTCTCGACTCATGTCGTCTAGTCGCGCCAGGGCTTCGCGATAGCGCTTTCTTTCCAGCAGCCACTCCACGGCATCCCTTTCGTCTCGATTACGCGCCAAAATGACGTCCTTTGGGCTCAAGACATAGTAGTAGATGCCTTCGGCCTCAAGCTCTGAAGCAGCTCCTCTCTGTTGGATAGCATTCTCTCCCGCAAGGATTGCGTCGGCAGATGGAATTAGAAGATAGTCGAGGCAGCCAAATCGAGAGACGTTTTGCAGGCTCAGCACATCGCTGCTCAGCTCCTCGCCAGAGGCCGTGATCATCCTGAGCTCTGGTTTCATGCCCGCTCTACGTCGCTGGGCACGTCGTAATCGAGACTCCGTGTCCTCGTTTGCCTCAAGCTCTGCTCCATCTTCTGACGGATCCTCGGACAGATACGCAAGCACGAGAAAGTCTGATCCGTGCGGCGCGATGCTGCTAATGAGACAATCGAGTTGCAGAATGGCAGTGATCTCGACGCTGGTAGCAGGGCCGCTAGATGTCGAGGCCAGCTGTTTGAGCGCGGCTGAAGAGACGCTCTCTTCAGCCTTGCCTGTCGAAGAGGCTTGGCCTTGACGCCTTCGAACCTTGGCAATCTTGATCTGGTCGGCCCAAGCTACGAGAAGAGTAGAAGCGTCCTGCCAGAACAGTGAGCAAGGAAAGAGATCCCCTCTTGGGCTCGCCGTTGGCGGCGCGATAAAAGATATCCGTTGACGGAGTGAGCAGTCATACAAGCGCACGCCCTGCGCAACACGAGACATGCGCGTACACTGTCAGCAAGAGGATGAATGGAGCAAGGCATCCGCTATCATTGTCACTCACCTTGTCATTAGCCCAGGCGATCAAGGAGCCGCGCCACCTCACTTTCCAGATAGGCCCTTCGCCAGAATGCAGAATGGTGTCCTTGTGGCCAAACCAGCTCTTTTCCTTCAAGATCAAATTGCCTGCTAGACCTCCGCACACCACTGCTCTGGAGCTGCGTCTGCCAAAGTCTGGTTCCAAGGCGAGTGTTCGCATGGGCCTTTTGAAGTCGAATGTGTAGAGCTCTGGCGAAGAGAGTGACCGTATACATACGATGCCGTCCATACCTGCACTGGCGACGAACTCGCTAGACTCGTCGATCTGAGTGTCCAGAACGCTTGCAGAATGAGAACGAAAAGTCTTGATGCGATTGCCTTGCTCGTCCATGATGTGGGTGTAGCCTGCGTGTGTGCCGAGCACCTGACAAGACCATCGAGCGCAGAAGTTGCGTATACATGCGCGCATCAGCTCCATCCACACCTCCCATTCTTCCCCTGCCACACTCACCACGAGGCGATCTGAAGCGGCCAAAGAGCTTGCAGAATCTTTCCGCAGCGTCTCGCTGTATCCATTCTTCATCCTGGAATACTTCAAACACGGCTCCTCTTCATCCGAGTCGTACTCCGCCTCGTCGTCTGCTTGTGGAGCGGAAACTCCTGGCATTCCAGAGGTTTCAGCGCTCAAGCATGCTTCTTCTTGCCCCGGCTCAATCTGTTGGGCTGCGAGTTCCTGCGCCTTTTGAGCCCTCTCTGCGCCTTGAGTCGCGCCATCGGCGCCAGATCGCTCCGTCTCGGCGCTCGTCCCCACGGCTTGTATCAGCCCGGAGAGCGGTGCGCCAGTAGGTGCCCCATCTGCCTCGCTCTCTCCCGCATCTGCTTCTTGCTCTCCCCGCACGTCGTCATTGACTGCAGGCACCTCCATCTCCACGCCATCAACCCTTTCATCATCATCATCCTCCTCCTCCTCCTCCTCCTCAAGCGTCACGGCAGCTTGTCGTGCATCCTCTGCTTCAGCAGCTGGCTGCAAGCTGACTGCGTGGGCACTGGTGAGCGCATCTTCCCGCGTATCGACTTGCATCTGTTCCGGAGCATGACTTCCAGAAGCGCTACGAAAGGAACTGTTGCCTCGTGACATGCCGCTACCGCTAGGCTTGACGACGCCCGAACCTTGATCGGCATACACCGATACGATCCTATGGCGATTGACAAGGTTTGCAGTCTGATTCATCAGGTACTGAGCAGAGGTTGCGCCGATTTGCTGATCGTCCGGGGAGGAAGAGGAGGAGGAGGAGGAGGAGGAGGAGGGGGCGAGGATGGGCGATGCCGATGACGGATGGGCCATGGATGACTCTGCATCCTGCAGCAGATCGTGCTCCTGCTCAGGACCCATGCTGGCTGATGGCGCGGATGTTGTTCGGGTGAGTTGAGAGAGCAGCCTGACGAGGCGCTGCCCCTCAGCAGGGACGTGGGATACAAGACCGCGTCGCGTTTCGTCACCTCCAGGACCGGTCAGTGGGACTCATACTCTGGCGAATGCCTGT